GGGCTGAAAATGCAAGGTAGCGCGGTGACCGCTGCCCGCCCCTCCCTCCCGGCGCCTGGCAGCCGTCAGGCGGGGCGGGAGGCTCTGCTGAAATCGTTACTCGCTCTGTTTCCTGGACGTGTGGGGCAACAAATGCAGTTGTTCGTGCAGGATTTTCAGCGAAACAGCTGCTTTAAAGCAGTTCAATCGACCGCGCGGTGCATTGTCGCTGCCCCGTGTCCCTTCCAGTGAAACGGCTGATCGCTTCTCTGTTTAAAAAATGTGAGATTAGTGTTCTTATTGACACAGCTCTTCTGTAGTCTATGCTTAAAATCTTATAAGCGAAGTTGTTGGGGTGGTTTTTTTAGAATCAAAGCATTATTATCTTTTTTTGCATTATAAGGCATGTTTCTTGGAGACCTTCTGTCCTGAATGAAATCTCGAGAAAACCCTCTAGAATCTTCCAGGTTTACTCTTAGTTTATAGATATAGTTTCAAGCAGTAGAAATAGGCTTACACTGAACATGAGCTCAGAGAGCTCTCGGTCTTGGTTTCAAAACAGGCTACTTGAAAGGTGCAGGACCCATATTAAACCTGCTGTTGAGTAAAGGCTCACTTCAAAACTAGGTAACAGTTCCGCTAATTTTTTTCTGCATGTTTTTTATAGGAAAAAACATGTTACTGCCTTCTGGTGCCACCAAGTGGACATCTTTACTTAGCAGTAAAAGCTTTCTTGGTTTTATTTCAACAATTAATGTTCAACTTGCTAAATGCCACTTCTTCACATGCTGAAGTATTTTCCTCTGAATCAAAGTATTTGCAGCATAACAGCATGTTTTGTTACCTAATGTCTTGTTGAAGAGTCCTGTTGGCAGCAGTAGAACCTGCCATTCCTCATTATCCATGAGGATAACGCATACTTCCATGTACACCTTCTGCCTTTGTTAATAACTTGACCTGGGAAAAACCAGCATGTGAAGTAGTAGGTGAAAACCTGGTGGTCTGCTGCTTCTTTTTCCTCCATGCAATGGACTATATAGGAAATTATGAAAGTAAAGCAGGATGGGCAAGCTTGTTAACAGGATCAACACAGAATAATTCTGATTTGAAATGGAGTTTACACGTTTGCTGTATTAGACCACCCATCAAATTCTAGGCGTGCTAGAGCCTGACCTCAGAATTTGAAAACCACTCTTAACGGAGCAAGGTCAGAAGACAAGTCTAGATCATGTAACCTGTTTAGGTAAAGATTATTCTGTCTCCTGTACTAACTCAGCATTAAAAATGAATCTCAGAACTCAAACTCATAATCCATAAATACACACACCAGGGTTGTGCTATGTACCGTTAGTTGGCTGTTTTGATCGAGCAGTCAAGCACCATTCTCTCAGGTAAAAATCTGTCTTTGCATTCTGATCTGTTGAGACTACTCAAGCTCTGTATATCCGTATCTTTTGTATGATGTATATCCTTATCCTCTGCTTCTGGTACCCATATCCTTGGGACAGAAATGTTCTACACATACTCTCGGGGTTTTTTTTCTGTTTTGTTTTCCCTCCACCTCCTCTTTGCAGTCTTCCACCAGTGAACGATGGAAGCCAAGACTTTGTTAGGCCAGTTATAGTATGTAAATTTGCTGCTTCTTCCAGCAGGTTTCTTTCAGTAGTTTAGAGCAGTGTTCAAGGCAATCTCAGAGGAGGATTCCTGCACCCTCACCTGTCCTCTCTTGACATAGTTCAAGCATGTGTCAACATGTGAATTGCAGGTACTGTTGCCAGCAAGACACAACCCAGGCATGAGTGGAGTGTGTGCAGAGACTTCCAAGTCAGACTGTACAGGTCAGACTGCAAGACAGAAATACCCTCGCTTTCCTCTCCTGTTTTTTGGGGTATGTTTAGTATTTTCCAAGTGTTGGTAGGAGTACTGATTCATTTACTGTTCTCCACATCCCTTTGAACAACAGAGTAATAATCTTGACTATTAAAAAAACCTAATTGGCAATGAGAATCCAAATTCCAGAGTGGTAAACATTTCAAGGCAAATGCTTATGAAACCAGCTGAAATATCCTTGAAAATAAATCTTGAGTATCAAAATACTGCTCAAGACATGCAGCTAAATGACATCATCTTAAAACAAGGATTCTCACGATAAACTCCATTCCCCACTTCTATTTCAGGTTTCATTCCAGAGAAACTGTCCTCTTTTCTGTATGAATATTCCAGGTGTATTTTATATTACATTCTTACTGAGAGACATACGAACACCATCATGGAGACCATGGATTTTGAGGAAGCAGCAATTTTCTCTGCCCGGAGTGCCCTTACTTCAGGCAGCAGGCAAGAAGAACTCTTCCAATCTCCTTGGACTAACTGAGGCAGAATTAAAAGAACAGTTTGTAAGAGGTGATGGCCCAGGAGGTCAAGCCACAAATAAGACAAACAACTGTGTTGTCTTGAAGCATATTCCATCTGGGATTGTAGTAAAGGTAATTATTATTTTACTTCATTAAGTCACAACCTGCATGATGTCTTCCAAGTCTCCTTTCAGAGTAAAGCATAATCACAGTCCAAATGTCAAGGAGGAGAAGTTTCTATGTGTTGTAAAGAATCTCAGCAAGAAGCAGTTTTGGCTATCAACAGATAAAGAAACTTGGAGTCATAGCTGATCTTCCTGGCTTTGACATGCAGTATTATTTTTTAGTTTTCAATAAAACTTTCAGTGGCAGCTGTCACATTCCTGTCCCCTCTTGTGAGTGAGTTAGAATGTTTTCCTTAACAAGTTAAGCATACTCACTTTGCAGAATCTTTTTGTGAATTAATACTTTGAAATTAATCTTTCCCTCATCACAAGGGGAAGACATAGTTAAATTAAAAACTCAGAAGCTTTCCGAGGTAGTATGGAAGCATTAAAGATTAATGCAAAAGCCAGTCTGACATGTTACAGTAGCAAATAATTACTAGGCAGCCTCTCCAGCATACATCATCTGGATACAAACGTTCCAGCAGTTCTTGGTAGGAGGATGCTCTTGGCTTGGGGGGGGGGAAAGTTTCTTTACTGTAATGGCAGGAATACATAGAGTGAAAGGGAAAGCAGAAGACTACACAGGTTAAAGTTCCAGTAAAAATGTCCTATTGTATTTCTTCAGTGTCATCAAACAAGATCAGTGGAGCAGAACCGAAAGATAGCCCGAGAAATCCTGCGGGAAAAAGTGGACCTCTTCTACAAGGGTGAAGACAGTGATGTTTTTAAAGAGAAGAAAGCGTCAGAGAAGAAGAAGCAGGAGAAAAAAAGAAAAGCAAAGGAAAATCTAGAGAGGAAAAAGCATTTTAAAGAAATGCAACAACTGGATATGAAATAAATATGTGAAATACTGAGTTGCCCTGGGAGGGTAAGGGAAACGTTTGTCATTATATCTAAATACAGTTTTCAAACTAAAAGATGATGTAGGGCTTCATAAGCACAACTGAAGTACTGAGCAGTCAGTCACCTGCTCTCAGTGTAAAACTGAACTGGTAAAAGCAGTCATGTAGTCCTGCTTCTGTCTGCCATCATCTCATTTGTCACGTTTAGCAATCAGTTTTTCTGCCAAGTTCAGAAGATGATAAAACAATCCTTGCTAAAAAGGAACTATAACCTTTCCACCATTGTTAACGGAGACACCAAAAAACTCACTCGATCTCCTTCTGCCCAGCTGATAACTTATGCTGCTTTATAGGAGTTCCAGTACATACAGAGAACAGCCCTAAAAAGTTGTAACTTCCCCTCCTTACTCGGACAACACCTCTACAGACATAAATCCTTCATAAACTGCGACCAGGTTTAGATACTGGTTCTGATGGTTTAAACAGACGTGCTGATAAGAAGAGACCTCGGTCGCTGGCCGCCTCCTTTAGATCTGTTAGCTGAACAAATGCTCTGGGCTACTCAATTCTGAATGAAGTTTAAACAGAAGCCTTACAAATCTTACCTGGAGTGGTGGTGAGCACTGGGGCAGAAGGCACTCCTGCAAGAGAGGGCTGGTCAGTCATCTTCCAGTTCAAAGGTAAAATTGGGTCATTACAGATAAAGAAGAACACATAATGGAAACTGCCTCCCAAGGCAACAGAATCCCATTTATCCAAGTGAAGTAACTACCTTTGCCTTTTAATACTGTATTTTCTTCAAGTAGCCATAGCTCTGGATGTATTAGCCCATTTTCCTTAGGATTTAGACCTGACTGTGCAATAGTGCACTACAGTCCCGATGTTTATGCTGCAGTTAAGCTTGGGCATCTTGGTATCTTCACTCAAACTGTGACAGTTTCCCATTTTATGCAAATACATGCAGCTGCGATTCCTTTGTTGCTGTTACTTTGAAGCCACTAGCGAAGTACACTTTCCTGTTTTAATCTTGTTAACAACTCTTAACTGCTTAACCAGAACTTCTCTTTAATTTTTGGACAGCACCCTCACCAGCTGCCACCAAGTTTTGGCCTTCAAGAACCAAAGCTGTAGTATGTATTTTGAAAGCAATGGAGACAACTAGCAACTACGCCACCTTCTAACGAAGATCAATTGCATCCAGACTGTGCCATGGATGGAAAGTTGCCAGTGATCTGCAGGCCCATTCCCTTGTCTGTTCCTGAACTTGAGCCTCCTGCATGAAGGTTAAATTTTTATCTGTTGAGAGTTCTTATTCATGGAGTATGAATCTGATTAAAGTGACTGTACATAGTTTTAATACAAACTGTTAATGAAAATAAGCTTTATTACGTCAAGTAATAAATACATACAAAGATGCAAATAACAGTTTTAGTAATTTATCCAGAATTTTCTTTTTTTGGCAAACTTTAAACTGAAATCTCCAGCCTTAATGTAGAAATTAGCTTTCCAGGACCTTGTTATTATTTAATAGGTTTCCCTATTTTCCATATAACTCATGCACTTTAAATGGACTTCAAAGCACTAACAGTCATGCAAATGTTTATGCAAAACGAACAAAAAAGGAAAAATAAGAGAAGGGGAGGGTTATTTCTAAGCAGGGCCTATGCTGTATGACAAATTGTGACTTAGCAGACTACTAGGTACAGCATGCTATTCTGCATTTATTAAAAAAAATCCTCAGAGCTTATGTCAAACTTTGAAAGATTGACGGTTTGGGGTTAAGTGAATATAGTCAAGAGAAAAAAAACAGAATGAGACTGTGGCTGGATAAGAAGAGAACTGAAATATAGCCTGGGAGAGAAAGAGCATTCTTCTGCATGCAGTTCAGTTTTCATGTTTTAGAAACATTTTAGGGAGTTTTAACGTCTTTACAAAATGCAAACCCTCAGTAAGTTGAAAAATCCTTGTTTTCTCATTCTTAACTATACATTTTTTGTAAGGGCAAAACAAGAACGGTAAAACATTCAAAATAAAGGAATTTGTCTGAATGTTTCAAGAGTCAAAAGGAATAAGTGTTACTTTTTCTTCATTAAGAGATGGAAAATCTTGCAACTGAATTAGTGGGCTAGGATCTTGCATTTCGTTCCGTCTCAGCCAAGCATTCCCGAACTAATCCTCTAGCATGAATAATGCCTGCAAAAGAATCGAACATACTTTAAATCATCTCATTCAGGTCACATATGCAACGACAGTCCAGAGAAAGGTTTACGTATTTCTGTCCTGAGTTGCCAAGGCTACCGCAGCATGGCTCAGGAAAGGGAGAGATCCCTCACTTCCCAAACATCAGCTGCTGCTAAACAAGTTTGCTTTCCCAAACTGGCATTATGAATTGAAAAGGGACTAAACCAGGAATCGGAGCATGATAAGATTTGTAGGTCTGCAGTGACAGGTGTATCTTAAATGTGCAGTACGGGCCTATTTAAAATCAGAGACTTAACAGAAAGAAGGAAAAGAAAAAAAAAATCACCTATTTGTGAGTTATTCTATTACAGTGAACAAAAATACAAAGTTATTTGGGGAGTCATCTTAGCAAGCTCTAAAAATACCTTGGGACAGTTCTCTTAAGAAGATGCATCAAAATCCAAGCCTCCATAATACTGCTTAAACACAAGTTGTGTCTCTAGTAAGAATAAGACGTTTTTTTATGGTGTGTGCAGAGTTACCTCCTAACACTGGCTCAGCTCCCAGTGTAAATCATCACCACTTTACATGCTGCCATATCTACTCTCATCTGATAGACATAATGTGGAATTTTCCACTACAAGTCCTGTTGCCTTTGAGTTCCAGCAATCTGGACCTTGATTCTTAATCCTGGAACTAAATCTAGATTCATGTTCACAGACCTGCTGAAAGAACAGAGCTTGAGACAGATTTTAAATTGAGAGACGGGCAGATTTTTCTACAACAAATGAGGTTATATTTTACTGACAGGACAAGATAAAAGGCGATTTTGCTGCTCAATCATGCTCTTTAACAAGGTGGAGAAAGGACAATAAGGCAATAGATGAGGTTTAATCTCTATTTAGAGATAATGGATTCTGTTTCTAGAAGGCTGCTAAGCCCAGATCACAGCAACAGCCTTTAGGAGTCCTGGCTTGGGACTTGACAGGTGCAAGGCTTTGCAGAGGGTTAAACTGACTCGGACAAAGCTGCATCCTGCAGCTGCAGGATACAGAATCACACTCGCAGAGCAGTGCATCAGACCTGGATCTGGTGGCAGGACGCCCAGTTTATGCAGCAGAACTACCCTGAATTATGTAGAACACTGGGAATTTGGCCAATTTTAGAGGTCAGTAGCCTCTGTGCTTAGGAGCCGGTGGAGCTGGGGACAGGGACTTTATTCCGGAATAACCTCCACACGGCCGTGGAGGCTGCAGTCCCGTGGTTACCCTCGATCACTTCTGCTCTCACACTTCCACGTGCTCCTTCAGCCATTCGGCTCCCAAAATGGAACGAGAGGTACGCTCCTCACCAAAAGATGGCAGCAAAAAGTATGTATTCGGGATTCTTCACAACACTGGCAAGTCACAGTGGCAGCACTGAATCTTCAACCTGCGTTAGCCAACAAACTAAACACTCACTGCAAGAAGCAGCAAAACAACTTCTCACCGAACTGAACCATTCAGTTCAGAGAACGTCTGCATCTCTGCCGGTCTCTCTCAAGTTGTCCCCATTACCCTATTGCCATTCATGATCTATTAATACTGACTCAGGCAATGCAATAAAGAGAGACTCCAGCAACATTGATTTTAGCCGGGCCAGATTCCACTTACCACTCATCAGCAGGCTTTATTGCATCCTTTCCCAGAACAGCTACTAGTCATTTTATTGCATGTCATGGCAGATATATTACTCTCCCATAATGGTTGAGCCTTAAATAAAGCTTTGTAGTCTTGGGTAAATGTAAGAGGGATTTGCAACGTGGTGAAGTTAATCTGTTACAGTAACATTCCCACTCAGGGCTGAACGCATGAGCGAAACTCAGCACAAGGACTGAGGAAAGGGAGGGAAAAGTAACCACATTATATTGGCAAGGGACAAAACTGCAGCACAACTGTTGTCAATGGCCTTTCAGGGTCATTTCAAAAGCTGGAGCAGTGGAATGTCCCATTGCTCCTTTGGAAATATCCCTCCTCACACATCTCCTGCAGAGGACAATGTCGAGCTGATGTCAGCAGTGGGGCATGCCGGGGTTTCTTTTACACTGCAAGGAAAGGCCATTTATTACCCCTTTTAGCTGACAAAGCACAGACAGAGAGACCTCATCAGCCAGGCCTAAAAGCTTCAATGTCCCTTCCTAGTGGGCTCTTAATGACATCCACTTGACAACAGGTAAGGGAGCCTAAGCAGCCCAACACTCCACAGAGAGGAGGAACGTGTATGTGGGACACCTCAGTCTGAACAGCCTTCTCTGACAACCTTTTTTTTTTTTTTTTTTTTTTCTGCTCTCCACCAGCCTTACTGTGAATTACCACAATGTAGTATTTCTTCAGGCAAAACACACTTTAGTAAAGGCTCCTGGGTCAAGCAGACGGGTGATGTATGTGAGAAGCAGTAAACAATGCTCGGCTGTATATTCTGGAGAGGGGGGGGGGAAAAGGGAATGGAAGGGGCAAGTAAGTCACCAGGAACCTGAGAGAACATATCCATTAGACACCTTAAGGGTTCTAAAATAAGGTTTGAATTATTAACTGAAATTCCTCTTGTGCACATAAATCACATTTTGTCACTGGTTTATCTATCAAATACAGCATGAATATAGAGTATCCCAAGGTTTCAGTTGCCTGTTAATACACCTAGTTTAATGACGAGCTCGAGACAGCTGTCTCCTTTCAGAGGAAACAGTTGTCATGAAGCTGTATGCAAATAGTCAGCACATGAAGTGTATGGAGACAATTTATGTATTTTTTTAAAGAAATTTGAACATTACCTCTTTTTAGCCTCTCCATCGCACTTTTACTCCCAGCGTATGTGGGTCTAATCTCTTTTCCTAATTCTTCTATGATCGCTAGAAGTTCTGCGTATTTGCTCTGCGGTACTTGACTGCTGCTGGTACCCTGTAGTTGAAAGTACATTAATCTCAATCAAATAGTGCTAAAAAAAAAACCTTATTACAACAAGCAGAACTGGAAATTCATGGAGGACCAGAAACATCCCTGGAAGCCACTTATTAAAAAAAAAAAAAAAATCAAGTTTATTATATAAACACGATTTTCCTTTTGCGGTTGCTGCTACAGCTGGACACAATGCTACGTGCCCTTCAAAAACTGGGATCAACTGGGAGGATGCAGCTGCGAGACTGGGACCTTAGGTGAAACAGAAGTTAAAACAGTCCTGCAAGAACAGCAGAGTGCGAACTGCTTATTTAACTCTATTTCTGCTTTTTCAATGTTCAGGTGTATATTCTGTGGAGTGGTTAGCTAGGCAGAGAGAGTGAAAGCAGATAAAACCAAAGTGCCCATATCATAAGGGAAATGCTATCAGGTCAAATCCATTTCACAGAAAGTTTAACACCAGATTCCTGAAGCAGTCTATAGGCCTGTCTGTGCACACGCTTCATGAGACTGAATTTTAGAGTATAAATTTGCTGAAGAAAACAGTCTAGAAATATTCCTTTTTTTTAACAAATAATAAATAAGAGCCCTTACTGTAAGAACATCACTGAAGACATGTTTCAGTGTGACTCAGATGGGATGGACTAACAGTTAATTAGTAACCAATCTCACTCAGCACTCTGCTTAGTCTAATTTGATCCCAAGACATGTGCAATGAATCAGTCTGCCATTTGGGTTTGATTTCAAATCTTGGTGGGAGGGAGGAACACCTCAGATTACAGGCCAGAATCCATGCTACTATGCAAACGCAGGGTCAGTGATCTGATTAGAGAAAAACAACAAGCAAAGCTGTACCTGCATCCCTTGTGTATAGCCTAGAGATGGGGGTCCGTAGTCATTTATAAGCTGTCTATATTGCGCAGATGTTGCCATACTTGTGGAAGGAGAGTGAACACTCCCAGCTGCAAAGAGAAAAGAGGAAACAAAACAAAACAAAAAAATCTATTAGCTAAAGATGAATTAGTCTGTTACACTGGGACACGTTTTAATCACTTTTTTCTAAAGCTGTGACCTCTCACCTCTGGGTAAGCTCACTAATGAGATCTCAGAGTCACACTATTTGCTAGGAAGAGAATGGTTAAATTAATGCTTCTCTAATGTTTGCTGTACATTTGAAAATAGCACAGCCTGCAACATTATCAGTGCAAACTGTTTGCCTAAAAGTGAAACAGCGTGTGGCATGACAGGTTGTTCTGCCTAGACAAACTGTAAATATTAAGGAGCCCTATTTTTGCATATATACATTCCACATAGATGAGTCTAATGTACTGTGCTATTTTTACTTTTTCAGTGCAAGTTATCTGAAAGTAACTTTGCAACTCAAAGTGTCATCACATGGTCAATGCAAGTTACCCTCAGTACTATTTTCAGCCAATGCCAAAACTATTCATAGGGAACAGTCAGTTGAGGTATATCAGATCTGCTGCTCATTGTATGACATCGCAGGCAACGAGTGCTGCCATTACTCTGTGTGACATCGAGTGGTTTTAGCCAAATTGTGCTATGTAAGTAAACTCAAGGAAAAATAACATCACTTTCGGTTATGGTTACTTTTTCTAAACTTATAAAAGATTATATTCAGATCTACAAGGTTTTGAGTCAGCTAGGAGTTACAGAAAGAGACTCTAACGTGATCATTGATGGAACTGCTCCAGAAACGAACAATCAAAACACTTATTCCCCCTCGCCCCGCAACGGTAAGAATTTGGGTTTGACAAACAACTTTTAGATATTTCTCAGGGGGCTTAATTATACTGCCCATTTCACAACAGTGCTGTAAGACCTGCTGGTTACGGACTGTACGCTCAGGACTAAGGGAGCATTACACCATTCAACTTGTTCACTCTTGCAGCCGAAGTGCCCCTGCATCCACTGATGCTGCTGTCTTTGCCTGTAGGCACAGACATAGACTGCCTGCTGTCTGGAAAAATCTTCTCCCTTACAAACTCCTTTGCTGAAAATTCCCAACTGTCTGTCATATGAGGAACAGATCTCATCTACCAGCCTTCATTTAAATCTAAATTAAATTGATGCTAAAAGTCACTGGGGCTCAGAACTATGTAAATCTCTAGCTTTGTTTTAAAGTTGCAAGTGATTCCATTCATATTTTCCCCTCACTACAAAAAGAAAGAGCCAGCAGTTACGCTGTAAAAAGCACTGCTGAACACAGTAGAACAGACTCTTGTCCTCAGCTGGGAAGGCTCTTTCCACTTCAGAATTAATCACAGGGTATCACTGTAGGGTCGTCTTCATTACAAGAAAAAAACGTGTTCTTAATTTTTACTAGTTAACTGGATGTGAAATCCTAAAAAAGTCAATTGGGCTGGTCACTAAGTCACCTTAAAACAGCAAGGTCTCTCTTTGTCTTTACCTAATCTGCTGAATTTTATGGCACTACAATCTGCATTTCTGTCACTAAGGTTTCGCATGCAGCTAACCGTCACATTTTGCTAAAGCACAGTAAAACCCAAAAAACTAAACATCACACCCACTGGGTACGGCACTGCAAAGGAACACCACAGTTGTCAGCTATTCTCTCAATTAGTTCTTCACATTATCAGCACAAAATACATGCACAATTGTAAGATTTCTGTACGTACAACCCAGTATGTCAAGTCCAAGATGACCAAATTTCAACAGTTACCAAACATGACACAACAGCAAACCGCATCTTTCCTCCAAGGACTTCAAAATGCTTCAAAAACATTAATGAGCCCCTTGTGCTGCAAGGTAAGGAGGTTTAATTACCTCAATTAAGCAGAGAAAGACTTAAGTGATTTTTCCTCATGTACAATAAAACAAAAGACCCATCCTGCAAAGACTTGTTCCTGAACTGTTACTGCAAGCAGTCACATACAAGACCTGAGAGCTCCAAACTGGTTCAGAATTAAGGCAAGGACTCCAATGACCTGGCTCAGGAATCCTGCTCTACCCACCGAGCAAACCTTAGCTGCAGCCCATGCAAAACGAAAACCAATTTATCACCACTGTATTGGTTAATGACAGTATAGTACAGTTAATTTAGTGATTGTTTCGGATAATGTTGATTTAAGCCACGACACGTGCTTGGTCTGTACGAAACAACTCAGCAGGGTATGTCTGGATAAGAAAGAAACCCTGCTAGAAATGTGATGTGCCAAGACAAAGCAGCGAATCTAGGGGCTGACTGAGAAAGTTTCACAGATGCGAAAGCCCGGCGACGCTTGGGCGTTGCGGTGGACAGTAGTTGGTCTCAGCATGGGAGCTCGAATCCAGCAGTGACTCACTCAACGCTGAATGACAAAAACAAACAAGAACTTTCGCGAGGCAACTATGAGCGAGGACCTGCCGCCGGAGTTGGAGCACGGCTCCGGGTGTGAATTCGGAGTGCAGATGCGGGGAGGCGCGGCGCCCGGGCAGGCAGGGGTGCTGTATTGTCTGCGGTACCCACGCCATGTGCAGAGCTGTGCTGCAGACACTAGAGGCCATCGCTGAGTACGGCATGCCCTGCCAAATGACAGATCGTGGTAACCATGGTGAGTTTACCCGTTTCTTTGCAGTCTGCATCAAAAATGTAATAAGACATAATGCCATGCGCCGACCACTTTATCAGCAGCAGCAGGCCCAGAGAACAAAGAAAAGGATTTGACTTGGCCGTGGTACCAGTCTCCATACACCCATGTCAGAAGTTGTGCCAGTCAAACTCAGCTGGAGGGGAAAAAAAAAAAAAGAACCCTTGATTTCACCTTAATTTAAGATGATGCAATCATGAAAATGAAATTAATTGTGGGGGTATTAGTATCGCACAGGGTAACGGACCCTGAGCTTTCTGACCTATCACTCTGTATGATAATCTCAAGGAGAAACCCTGGGTCTTAGATGACTATTACTCAATTAACCCAAAATACATCTGCATGTCTGAACATCCTGTGTATTTCAGATTTAAAAAAAAAAAAATCAAAAAAAAAAAAAAATCACCAGCTATTGCTATTATACTTCGCAAGAAAAATTAGGCCAACAAGTCTCACAGTCAATACCCAGTCAAAAATCAGTGTGATGATTAGGTATTCACTAGAGAGAAAAAAAAAAAAATGAGGGGGGATCTAAATTGAGGCTTGCGCTCTCACGTTGAAATGACAATGGAGACAAGACAGTTAAGAATCGAAAAGGGAGTGTGCTTGGTACTGAATTTAAGTGACACCCTGTATCACATCCCAAACTGTCTTAGTGCTCGCTGCTGTTTAAAACCTAAATTAATATACACACTTTCCTCCCTCCACTTTCCTAATTAAATGTACACAAAACCTTTTGTATACCCACTTATTCCTGTGCCAACGTCTTTTATTTCTGTATTCAAACGGAAGATTGCCAGAAGCATTTTTCCCCACAAATATACAATGACTTTCTTGTTAATCAATATTAATCTTTATTAATTGGGGGAGGGGTGTCTAACAATACAGGAATGAGATTTTTGTGTCAAAATCTCTTCCTTCCAGCAGTCTCTCTGAGCCGAAATTAACACCCTGGGGGACAAAGGATCTAAAATCAATCTTTGTTTGCCTAAACTCCCTCTGACCAGGAATCTTCCAATTAATTTTAGATAGGTTCGTAGGGATCCCTTTCCCTTCGGCTCCTTTGCTACTATCTCATAGCCCGAGCAGTGATAGTGATTTGCTGATCTAAGTTTTAATTCTTAATTCTATTGCTGCTGCTTGCTGGAAAAATAACTGGAAAGGCAGCTTACCGTGCACCCTGCAAGGAAGGAGTGGAAGCAGGAACACAGAGGTACTCTCACCTGATCCATTCCCAGCAGATGCCATGGCATCTGCACAGCTCAACCACCACCCTGTTTCACTCTCACAAACAGCAAAGTAAAATCAGAAATAGTTTCTCAACTCACCGAGTTACTCATGTAGAACTGACTTAAGACAAGTCATGAGCCAACCCCGTTGGGTATGTTTCCTACTGCCCTGTACTTTGTGAGGTCCTATATAACTGCATAGGTAAACTCATGCCATTTTACAAGCTCTTTGTACACATGAACATGACAGCATGTAAGAAGAGATAGCTACCTGTAGCCTGGAGTTTATCCAAGGTACGTAGTATGGTCTGTGGAATCTCACTGCTTCCACCTCTATTTCACAATCTCTTCAAGCAGAGGTTGCTTGCAACATTAAAGGCTGTTGCTGTTTAGATGGCTGGCGGTCATTGCACCTTTATACAGAGCCCGGTGCTGGAGGGTACTGCCTCTGTCACACAACTGGAGGACATTCCTCACCTGTTTCAGATGACAGCAGTTTGATTCCTGGTGACATGCAGTATGAGACAGCCAGACTGGAACATTTTAACTGAGAGGATGTAACTTCTTCTGTCCTAAACCAGACAACTTTGCCACAAAACACACCTGAAGTGTTGGTGTAAGCTGCTCTGCCAACATACATCACAAGGCAAGTATCTTCCAGCACAGGGGAGAGGTAACACCTTCAATGAGCACAGCCATTCCTGCAGCGAGTATATGAACCAGTGTGGTGTTTTGGCTGACGACAAGAATATTAGATTCTCTAGCCCTCTACGCCCTTTGGTTTAAGTTCAACAAAAGCTCCTTGCCACCCATGGGACACCACATGCACGTCTATACAAGTAGATCTACCGCACAGCCAAGCCACGCTGAACGCTATAGGAGTTGCCAACCCAGAGTGAAACCAGCCCCCATTTCTCCCAACCTTCCAATAAATTTTTTAATTTAAAATAATGGATCCTGTTCTCATTTGCACAAAACATTCCTTATAGCACTGGTTGTGAAAGTTATATTTTCACCCACTATTTCCCCCTTAAACAGCCCTTGTGGTAGAAACAGGCCTTTCTTTGAATAAAACTATTTCCTTTTAAAAAAATCCAGTGCGCACACACATAAATATGTTCTCAAGAACTAGGACATTCTTTATCGTAACAGCCAGAGGCCTTGCTCTTTTGATCTGTCACACTCTGGGCCTTTCCTCTAGTACCCTCATTCTATTTCATCTTTCCATGTGGATAACGGTCATGTTTTATGTCTCCTCTTCCTACCCCCCTGTCTTCTTTTTTTTAAATTAGAAAAATGAAAGTCAGTCACTTGGACTCCCCACCATTCTTTTTGTCTAGCTTAAGACACAGGCTATTTCTACACTATCAAGTTATTTGGCACAATAGGAGAGGATCAAAAGATGAAAGCACTTGGTACAAGTATACATGTAGTTGGGGTGAGGGGGTACGACTTAAGATTAGATTTGCATCTGGTCCCCCAGACTAAGCGTCTGTATTGTGGGAAGGGTCCAAAGCTGTCCAGTCCTTGGTTGGGACCCTTATGTTCCTATTAAAAGGGGATGGAGTGTTGCACAACTGGAGCAGAGCTTCTGGTATACTTTAATCCAAAAGGAATCAAGTTAGCATGAACTAAAACCACTCTGCAACTCAACCAACATGTGATGGGTGGAGACGATGAGACGATGAGAAGATTTGCTGACTGTGAAAACCATACCATTGCTCTGCAGTTAAACACTCAGGTAGACAAAGCCAAAAATGCCAGGTTTCTAAATGTCCAAACAAGTCCACTTGAAACGCGTTCAGCATGCTTCTTTTCAGATCGTTTTTAACTTCACATGGACTTCAAGAGATCAGGCAACCAGCGGGGGGAGTGTTATTTCCTAGTAATTATCCCCTCTGTTAAGGCATGAACCCTTTGCTCTCTGTTCTGCCTACAAACAGTATTCTTTCCAGTACTCCCACTCCAAAAACAATCTCTCAATATGGACAACAATATCAAACACAAGCTGTCTCTGTAAAGGGCGACAAGCAAGCCATTTGCTCATGCAAGTCTGCTCTGCAGTCTTAATAATATAAGAAATGGCCTAGTGAGGTTGGTATCATTTCTCATGATTAAATTAAATTGGTCTCTCCAGTTACAAGCTACAGTCCCAGTTAGGGAAATAATTTGTTTCGCCTCTTGGTGAGAATGTGCACTTTTCACCAAGAAAGTTCTGGTTGCTCTGAGATGTGGCGCACCTTGTCACAGTCTGCTGGAATTTGTTTTTCCAGATCCTACATAGAAAATTTTTTAAGCTTTATTACAGGAACAGGGTTTTGTCTTGAAACCTGACATTTCTGCAAGAATTAGAATAAAACCAGAGGAAAATCCCAAGATGTTTCTCATGGCTTCTCTATCTTAAAACGACTTTTCTCTAATATGTATAAACTCTGAACAAAATAGGAATCCTGGTGAACATCCACAGAGCCAGACAACACATGGAAACGAGGGGAACAACAAACTACAGACCAGTTCACAGCTAGTGTGAATCTCTCTGCTTCCACTGAAGTCAACAAGAGATGCTCTACTTCACCTCCGCTCAGCAGCTGGCCCTCTTACAGAGAGATAGTTAAACAATATGAAAACACGAGACAGATGAGGAGGAAACAGTATTTCGCAGGATTCAGTACGATAAGCAAGAGAATACAAACAAATCAAAACATGGCTGTTAGGAAGGGGAGCAGAGGTTCCCGTGGGACGCTGCAGGGTCAGGTGAGGCTGGGAAGGTACAGCCACAGCACTGCAGGTCCCTAACAGCACCTTTTCACCACCCAGGCAGAGAAGGTGCTTGTGAGGGAGATTAAAGAGAGCCCCCCAGGCACAGGCAGCTTGGCACTGCCAGCCTGGGGTGCTACACGCAGGGATCCAATTCCCAGAGCACGGGCCCTCCGGGAAGGTGACTGGTAATGTGGACAACACACTGCAAGCCTGGTTGCAGACACCCTGGGCCAAGTGTCACCACTGACCTGGGCAATGGGGAAGGGGAATCTGCACCAAATTCTACTGGTGGCAACACATTCTCCTTCCCTTAGCCTGTGTCAGGCAGAGGAGTCAGCACCCGGATGCTTCCAGCATCCTGAGTCACTTGGGGAGCAGCAGCATTTTCCTCAGCCGCAGTCATCCCCTGATCTGCCCACAGAGGCTTCCTCCTCCTATTTCGTCCCCCCCAATCACCTCCTCTCCCTCTGGACTTCAGTCCAGGTTTCCAAGTCCCCAAACATGCTCCCGTGCAAGAACAGGGCACAGTCACCCATCACCCACAACTGCTTTATCTCACCGATCCACTTACTGAGTACAGTTTAAACATGATTTTGTAAAGTGGCCGCTCTCAGCCCAAACTTCAAAGGAGTTAGCTCTGCAGCAAGGACGCAGCTCCAGGAGCTGAGGCGACACTGCCTTTCCAAATACTCCTGCACCAGAAGCCCTGCACTGCAGGGAAGCAGCATTACCTCCCAAAGGAAAATCCCTGTGAGATCCACAGCTGCCCAGAGCCCTCCGTCGGCTGAGACCAAAATATTCAGCATTCATACAGAGAAGCTTCTGCAGGGCTGATTTCAGGCCAAAAGGGACAGATTTCCTGTTTTCCTCTCCTCTGCAGGACGGGGCAGGGGGGGCGTGGGGTGGAGGTGTCCTTCACCCCAGGTTTGGAAGCAAACCTAGGATTTATCCTCCTGACTGGGGGGCATTTAATTTAAGCACAATGGAGAAGCAATCTCCTTCAACTCAGAATTAAGCTCCAGAAAGGAGGGGGCCATTTGCAGTCATATCACTCTGAATGCGATATGTGCAACTGCAAGGACTGCTTTGTCTAACTCCCTTGGCCTTAGGCCACGGTGCTGGCAATACCACTAGCTAGAGGAAGAGCTGGTGCGTGAGGATAATGGCAGAAGACAGGGAGGGAAGAGAGAGCCCATTTTGGATTCAGAGGAGGACATTCTTTCATTGAAAACATTCTGGGGGTGTTGAGGATCATCCCAACTCGGAAGAGAGGACAACTTAGACAGGAATAGTTGCAGTATGACAGCGAACTACTGCT